AAGGAGCACCCACGGGTGCCAGGCAGGATGCCATGGAGCTGCCCCTGCAGCACTCTCCTGTTAATGGTTAATGTGACCGGGCAGTGGCAGTGGCACGGGCTCCCCCGGAGCTATCAGCACTGCCATCGGCTCTGGGAACAGACTGTACCTTGTTGCCACTGTTTGTTTGCATCCCGGCTGCTCTGCCATGGCCACCAGCTCTGCCACTGCCCCGTGACACCCAGCTCCCACCCAGGCTGTCCCCCAGCCACCTCAATGGTGGCTTTGTGGGTGACAGTGTCACCTGGAGTGCCCCTGCTCGACCTGAGATGAGGCTGGGACCGGCTGTGGCAGCACCCAGTGCCCTCCAGCATGGCACATCCCAGTCGGATACTCCCTTGAAGGATGTGGGGTGGCAGGAGCAGATGAGGATCCCTCTTCTCCCCACCTCCTCCCCCCCCTTTTTAATCCCCTCAGCACCCCAACCAGGCAAGGGGGTTGCTGTGCCTCTTGGCCACCATTTCTGGGAGGCAAAAAGCATTCGCGGAAAGGCAGCATCTCCCACGGAGTCTTGTGCCAGCTCCAAATGATGCCCGATGGAGCTTTTGGAGGTTATTTTGGGGGTTGATGGATCCTGCCTTGTATCGCTGCAGGGCTCTGGGCTGTCCTGGTGCCTCGCCAGGCCTGCGGTTTTACCTGCACCTTGCATCACAGAGGCACTCGTGGCAATGGGGTTGCAGATAAGGGAGTGTTTTCCTCCTCCCGTTTATGTGCGATAGAGAGAAAACAGCAGCTCCGCGACCTGCAAATGCTGCAGGGCAAGGTCACATCCCAGCAGGTTGGGAGCTGGAGAGGGGTGACGAGCCAGGGTGGTCCTGAGGAAGGGACTGATGCTGGGGCTGGGGGGGGGTTAGTCCCTGGGGATGGAAAGGCAGAGCTAAGGGGTCCCTGCGGGCTGGGGACCCGGTGCCGGTCCCCAGCCACCTCAGGGCTCCTCTTGGCTCTTGCAGGCTGCGACTCGGGCTTCGGGCAGGCAACGGCACAGCACTTGGATGCCATGGGCTTTCGGGTGTTTGCCAGCGTGCTGGACCCCGAGAGTCCCGGTGCCCAGGAGCTGCGCAGGAGCTGCTCCCCAAGGCTGACACTGCTGCAGATGGACCTGACCAAGCCAGAGGACATCCAGCGCGTCCTGCAGCACATCCAGGCC